TAGAGCTGAGAGATTCATCCAAGTGCACTTTTCCAGGTAGACTCAAGCTGGTGTCAGTCAAAGTGACTGGTGCGTTCATACCATAAACAGATTGGTAGTCCGCTGTATGGGGGTGTGGAGACTCTGGATTCAAGCTGGGAGGCTCGCCATCAACGGGTCAGAGAATCAGCCTTCCTGGACATGAGGGCTACAATCTTCACTTTTCTTGGACTCATCAAAAAGACCTGACCTGCACAAACAGGTTTATAGTCTAAACTCTTATATATTCATCTCGTTCATTATAATCAAAGCGTTGTACAACTATACATGTATTTTCAAAATATTAACTGTATAAAGTTATAACAAGCAGATAACAGTTACTTTGGTGACTTTCAATTATTACCGTGTCAGAATAATTCCATTCTAACCCTCTACAGACAAAACATAAATTGAAATGTGATTATTTGGTCACACTTTAAACAATTTACCTTACTAATGAATTGCAGATTATGCTTCAAAGTTAAATGCATGGGCCGCAGCTATAGCCTAATGGCTAGAGCGGGCGGCCCATATGCGGAGCCTCTGCTCGCAAGCGGGTGGCCGTGGGTTCGAATCCGGCCCATGGCCCTTTCCCGCAGGTCTCCCCCTCTCTATCTCTGCCCCCTTTCCTGTCAAGCTACTGTCATTAAAGGCCACTAGAGCCAACAAAATCTTTAAAAAAAAAAAAAAGTTAAATGCATAAACTTTGTTCAACATTTATGCAACATCTCCGTTTAACTCTCTTTTTAACATATTTTTAAATTTTAAACCAAAATACATTGCTTTCAGCTCCATGAATTAACATTAATTACATTTTTACTGTCTTTAACCTATGAAATTAACCATTTACAATCAAATACCTTTCATGTAAATCTATATGAATTTACTGTAGTAACCCTGCGTGCATTACTGCAGATATTTGGTTCAATAATTTAATAAAATGTCCACAGTAACATAAATCCTCTGTAAATTAACTTAAAGTGTGCAAAATAACGTTTTTCAATCACTATCATCGAAACAACATGACATGTGATCATAAAGTTATTAACACAAGTGAGAGCTAGCTTACCAAGGGATGGTGTTGTGTTTACCCACTAACTTTGCTCCCTCTGTGCTCATCCACGCTCTAGACAGGATTTTTACAAAGTTAACACCATTAACTGACACAACCAAAAGTTTAAGCACCAAAAAAATATGGTTTTCATACCTTTTCCTCTCTTTTCTCATCACACTTGAGTGAAAGAGCAGGGCTCTCTCAGTCAATTAACGAGGTTAAGCTAGATGCGCTTTTCTAAGCATCGCACTTCCTGTATTATCAAAATAAAACTTCCGGTTTTCAAAATAAAACCCAGTATCAATAAAAGTATGTAGAAAACAACTAAAATAGTACTTGAACCCTAACTGGTGGGTTACACGTAGAATTTATGACATTTTAATAAACATTAATTTTGTTTCATACTTTTTCAAAACGGAATTATTGGATGAACAACTCAAAACTCATGTTATCTGTGGGCTCACACACACTCAATGACACAATAATAATATTGAACCTCTCTGGCCTGTTTCTTGAAGCTTGTGTGCAGTGAGACATAAAACTGTAATGGCTGCTTCACTAAGAGATGAGAACAAACTAAAAGCAGGTGGAGTGTGTGTTTGTACTCACAAACCCACGGGTTTGGTTAGTAGAATTACAATGGGGGAAGAAAACATGGAGTCACAATGAGGAAGTGAAGTCAGCCGGACAGAACACACCTGAACACAGACAGACCAAAACCGGATCTCTCTCCAGTGACCGCCTTCCTAAAGCATATGAATCCAACTGAGACTCAATATAGAACAATATTTCATGTTCAAGTAGCATTAGCTCTCTTTAGCTTAAAAAACACCAAAATGCTACAGCTACAATATACAGGCCTAATAGCACTGAATGTTAGCACCATGTCAGAGCTTTGTATCATCAGCACCACTAACATTTATAAAACCACTAGCATAATTTGTTTCACATCAGTAGCATCATCAACACATGTAGCATAATCAGCACCACTACTAACATCATCAGAATGACCAGCATCATTTCAACAACCAGAATCATTAAAATCATCAACATAATGACTACCATTATCATCTACATGATTAGTATTATTAGCATCACCAGAATCACTAGCATCACTTATATTATTATTATTAACAATGGTTGCATCATCATTAGCATCAGTGGCATCATCATTAGCACCAGCACTTGTACTCAGAAAATGTAACATGTACTTACCACCTGATCAGACTGAAACACTTGTTAGCACCGCAAGGTTTCCATGTTCCATCTGATCAGAGATGAAGAATGGATGAACTGGTGAGGCCCTTCTGTGTGTCCTGGAGCTGTTCCCTCCAAAAACCCTCCATCTCCTCTGAATCTTGAAATATTTAAAACAGTGCTATTGAATTACCAACTCACAACTCAACATGTTAACTTTAAGTCATCACACAATATGACTTTCGACCCAAGCTAACTGCAATGACCTTGAATCAAGCTAACACAATGACTCAAAGCTAACCTCGAAAATGGCGCGCAAAGTCACAATGAAGAAGTGAAGCTCAGCAGGACAGGACTGACCCTCAAAACACTTTGGTCTCTCTCTCTCTAGTAACCATATCCTTAAAAAATCGAAATTGAGCCAAAGTATCGAACACTTTCTCATTTTAAATTAGTATTAGCTTGCTTTAGTTTCATAAATATCACTATGCTAAAGCAATAATATACAGGCCCAATAGCATCGAATGCTAGCGCTAATTAGCAAGTCGCTAACCGTCTTACACACCCAGTTTCCTTAAACTATGACAGCTCGGGAACAGAATACAGGCATATACAGCATATTCACCTCGTGCAAGTCACACAAAAGTATATCAGAACGTCCAAGGTAAAAACTTACGTGCTCCCCACACGCCTTTCCTCCTGTCCCTCTGTCTCTAACTCTGAAATTGGCGCTCAGCTCTCCTCACACCACCTGCCCACTAAGCCCGCCCATTCACAGAGACTGCCCTCTGATTGGCTGGTGAATTTTAAAAACCAACGCCAAAACAGGAATGGTATGATTGACAGGTAACAGGTTAGATTACGCATGTAATGATATGTTAAGACTTAATAAACGTAAATAACCTTTTTATGAACAAATATCCTAACTGTAAACTGTCCTTTTTATCAAACTTTACATGTCATAGTCATTCTTTTAGGCAGCACACAATTTATTCAGTTTTAATGCAATTACACTGTCAGATTAAATTTATTGTCCTTTTTAATCATTTTTATACAGGGCTATCTATCTATCTATCTATCTATCTATCTATCTATCTATCTATCTATCTATCTATCTATCTATCTATCTATCTATCTATCTCTGCAGATTCCGTTTGTATGGTTAACTCTGATTTGATTTTTAAATGATAAATGGGGAGGAGGGGAGATAGGGAGACTAACCTGCAGGACTCCCCCCTCTCCTCTGCTGAGAGATCACATGCAGAGAGCTGGAACTGGTCTTATCCACTCTGTCTTAACTCATTCTGCTCCATCTTTAGCCAGAAGAGCTGCAGAACTGCAGCAGAAAGCTTCTAAGTGCAGAACAACTCAGTTATCTACACTAACAAGAAGCTGGACCCTGGGTTTAATTTCAAAAAGAAAAAAAAGGATCCATTCTGAACTCTGGATCCAAACCACTTTTAGCTGTTTGTTCAGCCTAAGCAGATCCTAAACTGAACAAAGCTTTCAAAGACAAAGTCTGTTTTTGGCTGAGCTGAACATTAAAAAGCAGCATGTGTATGTCTGTGTTCTCAAAGTGGCATTAACTCCATTTAGATTCTGCTTTAAGCAGAAGAAACACGAAGAAACGCTTCCTTTTTATGTTGTAGTTACACCAAACTGCCACAGAGTGTCGCTGTAGTCACACCGACTGCATGGCCTCTGGTTAAAGCTGAGAGAAACTGAGTCAAAAGAGTCACAAAAACATAAAGCACAGCCGAAATAAAGTCATTACTGAGCACATCAATTTTCCTGGACATGTAGTAAATTAAAATCCACAATTAATGTTTAAAACAAACCAATGTACGCAACAGTCATAGCAAAATAAACTCACTACATAGAAGCTCATGAGAAACATTCACCCCATGTTCAGAGTCAGTGGCCAGTATTGGCCTTCAGTTATTAGCTACTTCAGTCTGCTGCATAAAGAGGTACCAAAATACATCAAAATATCTTAAACTTACCTTAAATTGAGCTCAACGGAGAAAAAGTCCTCAGGTCTCAAATCACCATCATCACCGTTAGTTTCAGATGGGAAAATGTGTTCACAAGTGCTTCTCTTCCTTTGAGAAAATGTATTTTAACACTCAATCAAGCTGTGGCAAAAACCATTAGTTGAATGCTGAAAAATCTCAAATCTAAGTATTTTAATATGCCACACACAAACAATTTTTTTTAAAAATACATGTATAAAGTTTAAAACTTTGCTTTGACATTGCTTAATGAAATAATGTTTTTAAAATACATTGTTCAAATTATGATGGGCATGATTACTGGAAGATAAATCAATTATATCCAAATGAATAAAAAAAACAACATACTCTGTCTTATAAGAGATGATTGGAAAAGGTCCATCCAGAGAAACCAAACGGTAAAAATACAGGCTACTAACCACAGAACCGGGCCTGGTGCAGTGCAGCAGCGGATGGGAGCAGGGTGCTGGGGGG